CAGCCCCGCCCCGCCCCGAGCCCAGGCCTCGCCCTCTAGGTACAGCCCAGCAGTCTGCCTCTAATCCCCGCCCATCGCCACGCCCCGAGCCCCAGGCCACGCCCCCTGTGCCTCCCACCACTGGCCCTGACTCTAGTCCCCGCCCACCGCCACGCCCAAGCCCCAGACCACGCCCTCCCAGGCCGCAACAGCCTGCCTCTAATCCCCGCCCATCGCCACGCCCCCAGTCCCAGGCCACGCCCACTCAGTAGCCCCCCCGCGACCCCGCCCAAACGCTCTGTCCATGGCCACGCCCCTGTCTCCGTCCCAACAAGCCACGCCCACAGCGTTCCCACACTGCCCACCCACGGCTCTGCCCATCACCACACCCCGGCCACAGCCACACCCACACGCTCACATCGCGACCTCTCCCCACCTGCGTGTTTCCAGGGCTATCCCTGCTTCTGCCAGATGGCTAGGACATCCCGTACTGGGAGGGGCGGCAAGGAGCATTAGGGCTACTGTTACCTTCTTCCCTTTCGGCAGGTTTATGTGGAGGGTGCGGGTGTTAGAGACATTCTTTCCACTGGCGACAAAAACAACCCCAGAATATGAGCCGCATTCCTGAGTGCTACTCCTAGTGCTGACAGCTCGGTGACGGCTCGGAGGAGCTAGTGTTCCAGCTTTTCCTACAGACGCATATTAGTTTCTTTTAAAAACAGCTAAAAATTTTTTTAAAATATGTGTATATAAGCTTATTTGGTGTGGTTTTTAAAGAAATGAAACATTGATTCCTAACCCACAAGTTTTTTCTTGTTTGAAAATTTGATATTTGAAGTTGAGAGAGGGCCCCTTTAACTATACGCTGCTGGTTTTTAGCATGTTCACTAGTTCGTGAAACCCTCCCACCGGACTCTGCACTCCCTTCGCCCCCAACCCAAGCCCTGGTCCCTCAGCGCAGCCCCCCAGTTCTCCTCCCCCAAAGCCGGCAACCCCCGAGCCACCTGCCGCGGCTGAGGATCTGTCTGTCCTGGACGGTAGGCACGCGTGACTCATGTAACGCAGGACTTAGCGTCTGTCTGTCATCAGCGTGTTTTCTGGGGTCACTGAGCTGGGGCACGCTCACTGCTTCATCGCCGGGGACAGACGATACCTGCCATGTCCTGCGCCGTACCTGCTTACGCACCTCTTAGCCGATGGACCCCTGAATTGCCGACTCTGGCCGTTGTGAAAATCCAAGTACTCGTTTTTGTGTGGATGGAAGTTTTCAGCTCTCTTGTGTAGAGATCTGGGAGCAGAATTGCGGGGGAGTGGGGGTGCGGAGCGAGGGAACCCTAACCTGGCAATTCTCCAAAGAGCTGTACCGTTTCCTTTACCTTCCACCCCTGCTGAGGAAGAGCCCAACTTCTCTCAGTGTTTTTCATTACGTCTTTGAGGTTACAGCCACGCTAGTGGGTGTGGAGTGGTATACTGCAGTGGCTTTGACGGAGTTTCTCTAATGAATAAGGATGTGAACATCTTCTCAGGGGCTCGCCCCACACTGGTGGATCATCTTTGGAGAAATATCTACTCAGTTCCCTTTTTTATTTTGGTCTTTTTGAGCCAGGGTCTCGCTATGCAGCTCAGGCTGGCCTTGAGTTCACTTTGTAGCCCAGGCTGGTCTTGAGCTCTGGACGATCCTCCTGCCTCAGCCTCCCGAGTGCTGGGATTACAGGCGTGTGCCACCATGCCTGGCTCACTTTGTTTTTCATGGATTTCAAACCACAAAAGGAGGGCTGAGGCTCTGCTCGGTGGACGGTGTTTGCTTTGTGTACACGATGTCCAGCCAGACAGAGGGGTCTGAGGGTTTCCCTTGTGTCTGTTCCCCGCTGGGCTGGTTGAGCTTAGGGATGGTACCTCAGGAAGCACGGCCTTGTCGCTGCCTGTGGAGACTCGCTCTTTTCTTTCTTGCGGGTACCATTGTTTCAGTTACTGTAGCTCGCTCTCCTTTCGCTCCCTTTTTCATTTTAAAATTTTTTGAGCGTTCTTTCTTTCTTAACATCATTTTGGGTGCCCGAGGGCCCCCCGCAATTCCATATCAATTTGAAGATCAGTTTTTGTACTTCTTCAAAAAGCTAGCTGCCAGTTTAGCAGGGACTGCCTTGAGGCTGTACATAAATTCGGAGAATGAGGCTACTTTAACAATGTTAAACCTTCTTAACCAGCAGGTTTTGGTGACACATACCTGTAATCTCAGCAGTCTAGGAGGCTGAGGCAGGAGGATCAACATTTCAAGTCCAGATTTGTCAATGTAGCAACATAGGGAGGTGCCGTCTCAAAATAAAAAGAAAGGGCTGAGGATGTGAAGGCCCTGGGTGCTACCAAAAAAACAAAGCACTCCTTATCCACGGCATGTGATGTCTCTTCATTAATTTAGGTCATAAAGTTTTTTCAAAGATTTTTTATATTTTGGGGTGTATTTTAGGTTTGATTTTGTATTTGATTCATAGAAGGTAAATATTATGTTTGTATATCTAATTTTTAAAAAGAATTTTAAGTAGTCACGTGTGGTGGTGCATACCCGTAATCCCAGCACTTGGGAGGCTGAGGCAGGAAGATCACTGTGATTTGAGGCCAGCCTGCATTACATAGTGAGTTCAAGGCCAGCCTGAACTACACAGTGGGACCCTGTCTCAAAAAACTAAAAAGTAAAATGAAAAAAAAAACAAAAAAAGCCACCTGGGTGTGGTGGCACATGCCTATAATCCCAGCCCTTGGGAGGCTGAGGCAGGAGAACTGCTGCAAGTTCGAGGCCAGTCTGGGCTACAAAGTGAGTCCAAGTTCACCCTGAACTGCATAGCAAGACCCTGTCTCAAAAAGACAACATAAATAAATAAATAATAAAAATAAAACAGGCTGGGCATGCAGTCCCATGTAAAGGTCATGGGTTCAATCCTCAGCACTCCAAGTGTGTGTGTATGTGTGAGTTGTCGTACTGTGCTCTCTTTTGTGTCTTGTATGTGTGTGTGTAGTGCTGGCAACCAAACCCCCGGCCTCATGCAAGCCAGGCAAGTGCTGTACTATGGTGCTACCCCCACAGACCATGTCTTCTAGTCAACAGTATTTTTGTGAGAGTCGCCCATGTCCTTACATGCAGCTGTAGTTTGTTCATTTTCATGGCTGTATAGTATTCCATCCCACACATACTATATGTATCTATTTTATTATTTTTGGACATTTGGGTCTCACACACACACATTTGGGTTACTAGAAGCAATGCTGAAATAAGCATATTCTTTTTTAATTAGGAGAAAAGCTGGACGCAGTGCCCAGCAGCATCAGCAGATCTATTTGTGGAGTTTGCAAGGAGCCAAAGAACAGCTGCTTTCTTTCTCAGTCAGTTGTGATGGTTCCGGAGCCCCCGCCCTCCTCCTAAGGGGACCCCAGTGATGTGGCGCTGAATCCTCGCAGCTCTGCGTAAAGAGTTGGATTTTGCGAGCAGCGCTGGAATGTGGCGCAGGGCTGGGCACAGCTGTTGCCTGGAGCATAAGGTCACTGGGCCGCCAACCTTTAGCCCCGGGGCTGAGAGGCCTTGCCGGGGGCGGGGCTGTGTGTCCGCCTCGGAGGTGGAAGTGCTTTGCCCGTCACGTCCTTTGTGCCTTGTGTCCCTAGTGTTCTGTCCCCAGGAGCGGCGGGGCCACCCTGCCTCACGCTGCTCAGCCCAAGGCGGGAAGCCAGCTGTCCCTGTGCACGCTCACCGCCGCTCAGGGGAGGGGTGGAGTCCGCGGGGCCCAGTGACCCTAAGCCGCCCAGCAAGGCCTCTACCGCAGGGAGCCAGACGCTAAGCCCCGGGGTCAGGGCAAGTGGGGCCCAGCTCCCCAGTCTAGGCTCCGAGCCAAGCGCACCGGACACCAGTGCCCGTCACCACGTGGCACACGCGCGGCCCCGCCTCAGCTGGGGGCCTGGAAAGCACCGCAGAGATGCTCGAGCCCTGACGCCGAGCTGGTCCCCAGGCGCTGTGCGGGGCCAGCTGGCAGCCACCGCCCTCCGGCCTCCAGCGGCTGGGTCCGAGGTGCTGCTGCGCGGGGCGGTTTCTCCCTCGGTCTGGGCACAGAGCTGGAGCTCGCAGCCGAGCTCTTCCCGCTGCCTGTCCCCCCAGCAAGGGGCTCGACATCCTCCTCCTCCTCCTCCTCCTCCTCGGCAGCCAGAGCGGTGACAGCGCGGTGTCTCTAGGCTGGAGGCGCCTCCGCGATGGGCCGAGTCAGCTCAGCTCAGGGACCGGCGTCCAGTGCGGCAGCTACGGCGAGGCCAGGAGGGACCCCTCCGGCCGGGAGGGGGTCAGAAGACGGGCAGTGCCGGTGGCCCCCAGTCTTGCCCTGGCGGCCACTTGGGAGGGCCGCCTCGCCCGCCCTTTCTCCCGCCCAGGTGCCTCCAACCAGGAAGAGGAAGCGGCCAAGGGCCCCCTCCGGCTCCTCCACCCCCGGCACCCTGGGGCGATTGCGCAAACCCCACCCCGGCAAGGCCACCAGACCGTTGGGCCGCAGATGAAGAGGAGGCCCCGCTTCTGGGAGAAGAGGCCTGGTCTCAGAGCACAATCCCGGGACCCGCTCTTTCTACAGGAGCGGGTTTTGTTTTCGGTATTTTATATGTTCAGAAAATTTATTTCTTTTTTTGGACACGGGTTATGTAGGCCAGGCTGTTCTCAAACTCACAGCAATCCTCCTGCCTCAGAGTCCAGAGTGCCAGGATTACAGGTGTGAGTCACCATGCCTGACCACATTTTTAAAGTTTTGACACATGGTCTAAAT